GATTCAAAGACATTTCTTGGAATGTTTAATTTAACACTTGAGTAGAAAAATAGAATAACTTTAGCACAGGCCCTGAACTTCTTGGTTTAAAAATAAATTGAAAAAATAAAAATTAAATGCAGTTTTTGAATGAAGTAGTTGTCATCCAAACAGTGAGGCATTTTGTCTCAGAAGAAGATAAATAATCTAAAAAAAATCAAAAAGAATATTTTCAGAAGATAGGTGCAAAACCCGAGAAGACAAGGAAAATCCAATATGCCCTGTACTGTTGGAAATTGACTCAGTGAATTCAGTACTAATTTCAGCTCCTTTGTAACTTAACCAGATATTAAAGTCACCATAACTGCGTCAGTTAGGCTGGTCATTTAGGCGTCATAAAGTCGTCGTAAAGTTGTCTGAAGTCGGCACTTGCACCCTTTGGAAGAGCAATAAATGTATCATTCGCATCTTCAGAGAAGTGGTAGGAGTGAGGGTGAGGTAAATATATGTATATTTTCTTGTAAGGAGGAGGATGTTAATGCATATCACCTATTCAAAAGCAAAATGATTTGCTTCATTAACTACGGTAGCACACAAAGACTAGTTTTTTCTGCTTCTCAAGTTTCTATGGAGCAGTCATTTATACATTCGCACTATTGGCTATATGTATACATTAATCACTCATAAAACTGGATGAAACAGTGAAATTATTTATCAAAATTTAGATATGTATTCATATTTTTTTATTTTTTTAAATGTCTGTGCTTCTTTAATAATCCCTACTATTGGACATACAAATAATGCGGTGATTAATCAATTATCCGTTGATTTATGACTCTCAACCACCAAAACATAAGTCTATCACAAGTGTAATTGATGTATTGTAAGTCACTAAGGTGTAGTTGTGAAGGGAAGATTTGTGAACCTGTCACAGGTATTGAAATACCAGCAACTTGTTCATTTCTTAAACTTATAAATTTCTTATGCATATTCAGTTCACTCATTAGGGATGGCTGGATTTCGTACACTTTCCTCTTTTTCAGTCCTATCTCCCAGCCATCACCTTAAATTATCCATTACTTTTATTACTGAACTTGCAGCTGATAGCTCCACTGATTATAGCCAGCCAATAGCGTGTAGACTTGTTGTCTCACCACCTGTGACGTCAGCAAGTCTATAAAAGCTTGCGCTGCCCATTTCTCGAGGTCCTTTTACCATCTTGACCCGTAGTACTACGTTATACCATTTTCTCTCCTCTGATGGCATTATTTATTCTAAGTGTGACTATTCGTTTGATATTCGTGGAGTGAGATTCTAACAAATTCATTGGTTTGGTTATAGTTCAAGGCCAATGGGCGATATGAAAGAGAGCATTGTCTAGTGATGCATACTTGAGCGGAGACGGATTATGTCACTCTCCAGCAGGAGAAAGGGAGGAAGTGTGATCTTGATTAACCCTTTGTTGCACGGAAATTTTTTTTTCATTTTTTTTAAAAAAAAATGTTATGGTTAAATTTCAATGATAAAGATAAGCACAAAAAACGCTTCAAAAATTTTTTTCATCCCCTCTCTAAAATACTGTAGGGGTAGGAAAAGTGGTAGAACTGTCATACCACCGCACACTC